AAACTCTGCTACATAACTCTTATTATTATTATTGAAATATGACCGGTAAGTTTCAAATGTATCCGGTAAAATAAATTCTGCCCGGACATTTGACCGGCGAGAAAAAATCCTAGCGGAAACCCTGCTCCCCTGGTGTGACACTAGAAGAACATTGAGCGTTGACCCTATCTCATGACACACAAGACCACTGATGCACATTGGAGGGTAAGCATTAGACTATCAGTGAAGTTTGGAAAGAGTCTTTTGAGGGAGTAGATTACAACTACACCTAGCTCAAATCTTGTGACAGTGTGACATAACACATCGTACTCAGATGTTGGGGAAATATTTTCCAAGGTCCATAACTTTGACCCAGTTTATCAGTTCTGTCCTGACTGAGCACACGCACCTGTAACCCTGGCTGCTGTGCTCTCGGTGTTCTGTCTCCCTGTTCCTGCCTGATGGCGTCAGCTGATAGAGGTGTTATCGTTCAATCGTCAATCTGTGTAGTTCCTTCCTCCTTTATAACAGGTCAGGGAGGTGGCTGTAGACCGAGTCCAGAAGCGTCTGGCTGGCCTCTTGACTCTTGACCCCCGCGATCTGAAACAGCTGGTCCAGCTTGTTCTCGTCGGCTGGGATCTCCTCGATGATGTGCAGCTCTTCTGGGTTCAGGATGTGCAGCATGTCGTGGAAGATGGGCTGCATGTCTCAGGGGTCGAGAAGCACCTGCTGCAGAACTGTGTCTTTCTTCTCTGGAGGCGAATTGGAGAAGGGAAGCAATTACTATACAGCTTCTCCAATCAATATTTATATATTAACAACAGATATGTGAAAGGGGGTTGCTTGTGGCATGGAACCATAGACTGTATTAAGATCAGTGGCGTTTTTATATGTACAAAAGTGGTGGGGCACAAAAACGTAGATGTCTATATATAAGCTTCTGCAGTGAGGTTCATGGCTGCTGAGGCTCTGACTCTTCAGGTTTACAAATATTATATTTTGACCTAAATCAAAATATATTATTTTCAAAAGCTTTTTTTGTCTGATGCTTCAATTAATTTTAAACAGACAGTTCAACAAAAGGATACCCAAACAATTTAATTTGATCATTTAAATATTGAATTGTTCTCTCTCAGTAAGATCCCATTTTCAATCAAATTGCAGTCTTACCTTGACATGAAGATGAAGTCCATTTGCCTATCCCTCTGGACAAAAATCTCTATTACTTTTTTGTAAAAGTCCTCCTAATGTTCTTGTAGTTTCAAAAGTCTATCATAAATCTGATCTAATCAATAGATTTATGATTAGAAAATTATAAAAGTAGGGTAGACATGTGGATATTATCCGGCTGAACAAAACGTGCATTTATCTAACAGGTTTGTTTCCCACAGATCTTATTTGGAGCTATTTTCTAAAATCCTATGGAGAAATATCATTGCTTTTTTGTGGAGGGAAGCCATGCGCAGCTTACTTCCGGGTTTTAGGACGCCTCACTGCAGCTCTCTCTCCTCCTCTTCACCTACCACACTTTTCGCAGCACACGTACTTACAGCCAATCAGCTCTGAATGATGTGAGATGACGTATGGTGGGGATGGCAGCTCTATGCCCCTATGGTCATTATTTTTTTGCCACACATAGGACATAGGAAAATACTCTGAGCATGCGCAGTGTAGTTTTTACAGTCACCATTGACTTAAACAGGGAGAGGGAGGGGCAGGATCGGGTTTTGTCCCACATGGCTCTAAACAGCTCAATAGGCACACACTGTAGACACTAATTAGAAGAACACAGACTAAAACAGCAATGAGACGAATCAGATGATTAAACATGATCTTAAAATATATTTTATAATTTATTTGTTGCCTTTTTTTGTAATCATTATTTGTAATACTTTCTGCTGACACTAGGTGGGGCTGTGCACCTGCCCCTAATGACCAGTCGCCACTGATTAAGATGGACGACATGACAGCTCCTAGTGAACCCGCAGCATCTAAATCACTCCCTGGTGACTGGCGGCATTATATATATTATAAACGTCCATGTTAGCAGATGGGACATGGGCACCATTAAAACATCAAAGTACACATTGAATACATTTTTCTCATGGTTGTCATTTGAGGTAGTTCTTATCACACAGATTTTTGTTTAAGTGTATACTTTTTGGAAGAGTTAGGTTGAATTGGTTGTTTCATATATAAATGTTTTTTTGATGACAGCTGCTGTAAATTAGTCAAGGAGTAAGAATGTTGAGAGGATATGTAACTCAAACATTCTACAACCATAATTGTACAAGATTTGTACACAAAGATCTTTAGAGTAACCTCTTTTAAAGATAGTCCCTGACCAATCACTAACTAGCTTAGCAACATGTCCCGTGACAGTGAGGTGTCAGAGGACGAAAACAAGCCATCTGAAATATAAACCCTGTATATGAGATCTTCCCAATTACAATACAATTACATCTTAGTTCTGCAATCATCAGTCCCAATCACCATCATTGTAAACATTTTAAACATGTTACTTAAATAGAAAAGTATTACATTTTATTTTTCATTAATTAAAATACAGCTATTGCTATTACAAAATTAGATGTAAGGAAATGCAGAATTTCAAACATTAACGCACAGTGACCACATGAGGGCAGTCAGCATCCAAAGATCCAGGAGCATGTTTTGCAATATTGTCAACATTTGCTGGTGGTGTAAATAATGTGAAATGCTGAAAAGTATTCACACAGGCCTCAGACAACCAACCCGAGTCCCTGAGAACAATAATCTGCCTCGCCTACCAAAAGTGCCTTGTCAGGGTAAAATGTGCGACAAGTGTTTGTTTTTCTTTGCATTGTGAGAGTCTGACTCACATAACACACAGCTGATTTTCCTGTCATCTTTTCGGTTCCTTCAACTTTAAAGCAGACTGGGTTCGCCTGGTCTGTAAAAAGTGTTGATTGATCAGTTGCATTGTTCTGCCAGTTGAGGGCACCAATATACAACGCTTAATTGTTGACCAATATTGGACGACTCCCTTCAGAATGGCTACATCAATTAAAACCAAAGTCTTAAACTCTAGGAATTATTATCAATAATAATCTTTAGTGAATCAGAGATTCAGCCGCCAATGCTACAGTAAGTTACCACCAAAGCAACTGCACCTATACTCTAGGGCAGGGGTGGCCAACCAGTCAGAGGTTAAGAGCCAAATGTTTTCTATGTTACTGCAAAGAGCCACATCAAACACACTGATACCGCTTGTTTCAGTTTTTTGTTTTCTGGAGACACGATTTCAACCACGTCACTGATGCATTTTTGTGGCATTGGGATATATATTTTTAAAATCCTCTGGAGCAGAGAGAGGAGCTGTGGATTATTGTTATTGATTAATGCATCAGTGTTTCTTAGGGTCAAAAACACTAAACTCACAACTTAAAATGAAAGCGTTTAGTTTATTTAATAAAAGAGCACATGTTCAATGTGAAAAGTGACAGTAGTTATAGATTATTTGCAATTTGGTGCTATATAATATATTTTTAAAAAAAATTATATATTTTTTTTAAACACCTTGAATTTCAGGGGGTGCACGGGGCTCCGTTGGCGGGGTGCAGCGCCCCTCCAAGACAATGGTAGGGGAAACACTGGATAATGTTTAATCAACGATAGGTTTTCCCCCCCTCAAAGATGATTGGTTCACTGCATCGCAGGTATTATTGTGATTGGCTCTTGGGCCACATCAAAATTAGACGCGCTGGCATCCTCTCATACTGACACCTGACACCACACATACACACGTAGGGAGAGCCGGGACGAAAGTAACACGGGACCAAAGTAACGGAGCGATTTTATCCGAGCCCAAACAACTTTGACCGGCCAAATTACGTCAGAATGATCAGCATTCAATACTTAACAGACCTACTAAATATTAGGTTTAACTCTGAGGAGTAGTGTTGTCACGGTACCAGGGCCGGCCCTGACCAATTTGCCGCCCTAGGCGAGATTTTAGATGGCGCCCCCCCCCCCCCCCCCCCCCCAAAAAAAATAAAATAATAATAAATCACACAGAAGCTGTATACGTTTTTGGGATATTTTTTTATTTTAACACAAATACAACATTAAAACCTATAATTGCAGTCAGCAGCCTCGCCAACACACCAGTGCTTTCTAAAGGCCTATTCACACATGGCCCCTCCACTTGCTCCCTGCTGAGGTCAGACAGGGCAACAAGTTGCTCCTCTGCTGACAGGCACACAATCCACCTGTACTGATATACAGTCCGTGAGAGACTAATTGCCTCACCTTAAGAGCTGGATGTGTAAGAAGTACAACCCAGAAACATTTACTAATTTAAAACAAAAGCTGCTTTGCTGAACACTTAAACATACTACTTCTGGGTACCGAAATATTTGCTATCAATCACTTCAGTCTTGGTTAAAAGCAAGATTTAGCCAAAATCCAACCATTAAAATACTACAGGCCTCAATCTCACACCTCAACACCTTACCTTAGCCTGACTCTCCTTGCCTTTCTTGAAGCAAAATGATCTATGACATCATCATAAGACAGCTGTTTTGAGACCACATGGTTGATGCTTATGATGGATAGTCCACTGAGACGTTCTTGTCCCATAGAAGCTCTCAGGTAAGTTTTGACCAGTTTGAGCTTTGAGAAGCTTCTTTCAGCAGCAGCCACTGTAACAGGAAGAGTGGCAGAGATTCTCAGAGCAACCCACAAATTGGGGTACATTTCTGTCAGCTTCTTCTCATGAAGGAAGGTCAATAGTTCCATGTTTGTCATCTTCTTTGATGGCAAATGTGGAACATTTTGCATTTCTGCAGCAAGTTCCCTGCCATCATGGGTCAGAGCAGAGCTCAGGGTTTGACAGTGCTTTGGCAGTTCTTCGTTTGATGTGGTGGGAAAGTTGATGAGCACTCCAAACTTGTCATTTACCTCTTCAAGGTGCTGAAATCTCTCATCAAGTGAAGAGAGGGCTGTATCCACAACCACATTAAAAAAAAGGGATTTCCATTTTTTTAAGTGCATCATCAATAGGCTCATCTGGAGACTCATAACCAAACTGCCGTTTTGTGGATCTCAACCGCTTTTGCTTGAGAACAGACTCCACGTTCATCTCCTCACACATCTCCTTTGCAGTTGTCTGTGCATCAGAAAATCCAGTCCTTCTGTAGCAGGTGAGGGAATCTCCTGTTTTCTTCAGCCGGTCGACAGCCACATCTAACTGCACGGAGGGTGACTGCATCAGTTTGCTCAAATGCTGGATCTTGTAGAGGATGTCATACCATATGGTTGTGCAAATGATAAAACGGTAAGATCCAATCTCCTCAGCCAAAGACTGGGCTTCAACTCTCACCACAGGGTCTGCAGTTGTTTCCCTCACCTCCAGAAGAGCCTCTCTGATTTGCCCAGCCTGGTACATTACTGCCTCAACGCTTTTTATCCTGCTTTCCCATCTGGTCTCTGACCACGATTTCAGGGTTGTTTTGACATGTTTCAGCAGGATGTCCCATCTATGCGTGGAGGCAGAGAAGAGTTTGTACAACTTTGTTAAATAGCCAAAGTAGCCTATAGCATCTGGTGAGCTCTTTGCAGCATCAGCTACCACCAGATTTAAGGTGTGAGCACCACAAGGGACAAAAAAAGCTCTTGGGTTCTGCTGAAGCAACCTAGCCTGAACACCTTTATTCTTACCCTTCATGTTGGCACCGTTGTCATACGACTGTCCTCTGCAGTCCTCAAAGGGGATGTTAAGTTCCTCCAGCCTTTTGAGAATGAGCAATGTCAAACTTTCCCCTGTTGACTGCTCTGCCACAAGAAAGCCCAGGAAATGTTCTTTAACCTGTGGTTTGTCTACTAGTGATACTATCCTGACAATAACAGAGAGTTGTTCTTTATGACTCAGATCAGGAGTGCAATTCAAAATGATGGAGAAATACTTACACGTTTTTATCTCTTCCACAATTGTGTCCAGTATTTTAGAGCTGATTGAGTCAATCAGTTCATTTTGAATTATTTTGCCCATATAATGTGTGTGACTGCCAGCTCCACTTGCCACCCTACCAACATGCTGCTTTATGACTGGATCGAATTTGGCCATAAGCTCCACTTCTTTTAAAAAGTTGCCATTGTCTGGTTGGTTTAATGTGTCTGTGGACCCCCTCAGAGCCAGGTTTCTCTCTGCTAAGGACTGAATTATTGCCACGAATCGGGTGAGAACGTCGCGCCACCTATTTCTCTCAGCCTGAGCAAGGGCCATCTCTTGCATATCTATTGTAAGCCCCCTGGCAAGACGGACGTCTAACTCCTTCCATGTTGCCATGTTTGTGTTGTGCTCCTTGCTTTCTTCATGTACCTTGAGCAAGTGACTTGCATTTTTCCAGTCCTTTAGTCCTTCCCTATTGAGTATGTAATTTCTCTGTGAAAACATTTTGCAGCAGCAGCAGTGCAAGCTATCATTCTTTTTTGAATACATCAACCAGCTTCTTTTGATTTTTTCTCCGTTGATTAAGACTCTGTTAAAATAGTCTTGCTGACACCTTCTCCCGTCTTTTTGTTTGGGAAAGATAAAACTAGGTTTCATTTGATATTGTCCACTCTGAACAAACTCTGTCCTGTCATTATCAGTAAGAACAGATGGCCAGTCGGCAGGGTCTATTGGTGAAGCCTTTATCCCTGATGCTGTATAACTTGGCTCTGCTGAGGTGGAGGGGACAGGAGCGCTTGATGCTGTATCACTGGGCTCTGCTGAGGTGGAGGAGACAGGAGCGCTTGATGCTGTATCACTGGGCTCTGCTGAGGTGGAGGGGACAGGAGCGCTTGATGCTGTATCACTGGGCTCTGCTGAGGTGGAGGGGACAGGAGCGCTTGATGCTGTATTACTGGGCTCTGCTGAGGTGGAGGGGACAGGAGCGCTTGATGCTGTATCACTGGGCTCTGCTGAGGTGGAGGGGACAGGAGCGCTTGATGCTGTATCACTGGGCTCTGCTGAGGTGGAAGGGACAGGAGCGCTTGATGCTGTATCACTGGGCTCTGCTGAGGTGGAGGGGACAGGAGCGCTTGATGCTGCAGGGCTGGGCTCTGCTGAGGTGGTATGAGGCCCAAAAAATGTCAATAGTGCATCTGGAGAGAGAAGAGAAGTATATGTGACCATCAAGAGATGTATTATATTTGCTAGACCAAATTATATTATAGAAATCAGAAAACAGGAGCAGCTCACAAAATAATTAGAATATCATGGAATATATTGCCTCCATGTAGAATTGATGCATTTATCTCTGCAAAAGGAGCCCCGACCAAGTACTGAGTACATATTTGAATAAACTTTTCAGAAGATCGAAATATCTGTATTATAAATCCTTATCTAATATTATACTAGATACAGGATTATTGATTTTCATGATCTGTAAGCTGTAATAATCACAATTAAAACAAAAAAGGTTTGAAATATTTCACTTCATGCATAATGAATCTAGAATATATGATTAATTTGTTTTATTAAATTAAAGAAAAACAGTTCTATGATATAGTTATTCTTTTAGATGCACCTGCATATTCTGCGACTTACCAGATGGCAAAGAAGCAGCTACATACATTGTAATATAGCATATTAAAGATAAAGGCTAAGGTATGCAGTATTTACAGTAGTGACAAGCATTTTAACACTGATGTAAACGTTACACTATTGATTATTGAACATACTTTAGACAGCATAAACTGTAAGGCAATACAATTAAAGGCCTACAACTATAAATTATTGAGGGGATGTAAAAGGAATAGCATTTTAATGACTATCATTATTAGCCTATTACTACAAGCAGGGCAAACATTGGCTCACCTCAACAGATATAGTAGATGATATATAGCAGGTGATGTAACTCTTTCCAAATGTCCCTGAATTTAAGGTGGGAGTAACGGTAATAATTGACGTTAACTCTAAATGTAACTATTGACTAGCAAACAAACGACCTCGCTATCGTCTAAAAGTAAGCTAGCAAGTTAAAACTGTTCCATCAACGGTAACTACAATCAATTTTTTGACTTTGTTTAATCATCATCACATTAACGTTACTGTACCTTTGTCTTTCTCCCGTTTGTCCTCCTCCTCTTTTCTTTTCTTTCTTCCCTGGGCGCCAGATAACTTTGTTCTTTTCGACATGCTAATTACCGTCTTTGTTTTCTTCTCCCGAGTCAAAGCAGGTCAAAGGCGGCGGGTCAAGTGTCAGTCAGTGACACTTGACCCGCCCCCCTCGCTCCTTGAGGACATAAACAGCCTGCGGGTCTGGGGCAGTTCAACTTACCTGAATTAGGGGGGGGGGGGCGCCATAGTGTATGGGCTCTGTACGCAATATAGACGTAGTTCTGTTAAGATAAGATAATAAGATGTACTTTGTTGATCCAAAATCGGGAAATTGTTTTATTTAAAAAAAAAAAAAATCACAATTACATTTTTTAATAAAATATATATTTCCCCCAATTTTCGGCGCCCCCCTGGCTTGATGCGCCCTTAGCATTCGCCTATACTGCCTATGCCAAGGGCCGGCCCTGCACGGTACCAACATTTTGGTTTCGATACCAAGTCAAGAATTGCGATTCCGATTCTTTTTCGATACTTTTCTTAAAAAAAAGGGAAACAGTCTTAAATGTAACTATTGTGCTTTATTTCACATCAGAACCATAACACCAACTTTTAAACAATGAGAACAATAAATAAAATAAATGACAATAATTCGTATTAAATACAATTAATACATGTCTTACAGACAGGCCGAGGCGCAGCGGCAGTTGCACTCCCACTTGCAGCCATGCTTCTCATTTTCTCACATGCTCTGGCAGCTAGCGCGTGCACGAGAGAGGGGAGGGACTTAGAGCGTGAAGGGAGGGGCTGCAAGCACGGCTGCAGTGCAGGGAGTGGAAGCAGAGCGCTGAACACACACGGCTCTTATTAAAACAGCGCTTTCTCACCGGAGTACTTTTCTCCGTCATTCTTAAAGTACCGATACTAATGAAACGGAGGAATCGTAACGTTTTTAACGGCAGGGTATTGCGGTACCTTTCAAGTATTGGTACACCGTGCAACACTAGTCAGGAGTCAGTGTCTCTCCCCCAAACATATAAAATTCGATATGAACTGAAGAGCCGCATGAAACTAGGCAAAGAGCCGCATGCGGCTCGAGAGCCGCGGGTTGGCCACCCCTGCTCTAGGGTATTTTCAAAAAGAGTGTGTTCTTAGGGCCCCAGAACCTAATTTTGGCCAGGAGCCTCTTAGCAGAGTCTGCTCTTGCATGATGCCTTGATATGTAAAAGTGAAAGATGCTCCATTCCTTTTTCATTGATGACCATTTGGACTAAAGTCGGAGGGCCCCCTTGGATAGGCCTAAGGCCCACTTATACCTCATTCACACCAACGGTGTTTCAGGGCCGGTTCGGAGCTGGAGCTTGAAAAGCACCGGGTTTTCCTGTTCACACCGCAGCGGAGCAGCCTCTTAGCTCCGAAATCCGGTTAGTTTCAAGCACCAAAAAATTGTCCGGCCAGAGCAAAAGCACCGCATACGTCACGCTTACGTCGAGGCGGGGGCAGGGGCGGGATCAACTCCTGAACAACAACAAGAAGCCCGCGTTTTATCCAGCTTGTACACAACGATGGAGAAACTTAACAAGCAGCAGTGGTCCACTGGAGAGACCATCTACCTACTGGGAATCTGGTCTTCCGAAGAGGTACAGAGGAAGCTGGAGCACAATCGGCCATTGTTGTTGTTGTTGGTGTGAGCTGTGGTTTGGCTTTATGAAGCAGGCACGCAAACGGTTACGTCATGACGCAAACGATGACGCAATGACGCAGCATCAGTCGGACTCTGGGCAGTGTGAAAAGAGCCGGAGCTAAACCGAAGAACCGGTTCTGAACCTGAAAAGCTCTAGCACGGAGCTTGAACCGGAGTTGCGTTGGTGTGAATGAGGTAATACACAGGTATGTTTAAAAACTGCATTTTACATCCTTACTTTTTAAAAGATCCCATCCCATCCACAATGTCTCCATTAGTGAGGGCTCTCTGAGGCGTACACTAAAGCGTGACACAGCAGGAAGTTTATAGGGGAAGTCGGAAAACGTTTTTGACCGCACACATCCGTACGCCTGCTGGTTTTGTTTGTTTATTTTATTTAAACGCCATGCATATGTTACATGTCGGTAGTGGGCCGCCAACTTGAACTTTCGAATAAAGCACTTGAAAGGAACGATGCAAGGTATCTGGATTTCTTTAAGTTTCCGCGAGTCAATACTCGAATTGATGACGTTATTTTTGTGCCTCTATCCTGAGCACGCAATGAAACATTTTGAGCATAGAAAATGTTATTCAGCGCGCAATTTAACATTTTTGAGCACAGAAAAATATATTTTGCAAGCACAATTGACTCTAAGCCCTCTCACAAACTCCTGCTCCGTGCACAAGAAGACTGCTGCACGCACTCTCCCTCCCTCTCTCCCCCTCGCTCAACCTCACCCTGTGTGCGCTCAGGGTTGCCTGTGTGCGCGCTCAAGTTGGCACATCGTTACAAATGGGCCACAAAACCAACCAATCGGAGAACTCAAGGAGGTCCATTCTGATTGGCTGTTTCATCTCCAATCATATCTTCTATCTGAGATAAGGAAAGAGAGGGATTTGAGTTTGGCCAAACTAATACATTTATAATTAATTATATATTATATATTCACAGTTAAGAATGAGATATTCATTATTAATGCCATAAATGATTGCATACATGTACAGTTTCTTATTTATCCAGTATGATAGATTATGAGCTACGTACGGCAACCCATGTAGGACATTTGACACGTTTCGCAAAAAAGTTTAAAAGAAACGACCACATTAATCTGAACGAGAGAGATGAGTTCATGTTATTACAACGTAATTCCACGATTATTTGAGAAGTAATCCTTTTAGTGGGTTAAGATCGTTCTTAGAATAGCGAGAAATGTATTTAACTTCTGTTTGACAGCTATCACACTGGAGAAATAAGAAACTGTAAATATGCAATAATTTATGATATTCATAATAAATATCTAATTCTTAACTGTGAATGGTTTTCATTTAATTACCAGACCTCGTGTGAAAAGACATTCACACACACTGGATCACCGGGGATTTCGTCTACACACACACACTCCCCAAACACACGTATCTGCTGAATCCACAAATTCATTCATATGTATTGTCACATCCATGCACACACACGCACACACACACTCAAGTATAAGTAGTGATACCACAGTGTAGAAATACTTTGTTACAAGTAAAAGTATTGCATTTCAATTCAAGGTAAGTATAGAAGTCTTAGCATCAACATAGATAAGATATATATACGTTGTATATGTATATATTATTGTCTACTTTATTAGTTTAATGCTCGATTCTGAGGTTATTAATTTTCCAATTAATTTTAGAATTATAATTTTTTCATTGCAAAGTTAATTTTTATTATTTTATTGGTGGTGTAAATGTGTTTCCATAGCGACCTGACGCTTTAATTATAATATCTGAAGAAAGTTCGGGCCATGCACACACCGCTTATTTTGCTAATGACAGCAACATAATGAAAGCATGCATCCAGTGAAATATAAACACTACATGACTTCCAATTATAACTCACTTGATTTCTGCGTCGCTCCCTCCACCTGTGTCTTCTCCAAAGAGCCGTACTGCTTTGAGGATCTTCTCTCCTTTTCCATATTGTTAAAAAAAAATGCTGCTCTTTCAGGACTCTGCGACACAAAGATCTGCAGCCTGAAAAATATGTGTAAGATACCGACCAAGTGCTCTGTGTGAGGGAATATAACGGGAGGAGCTGCAAACATATGCTCACACACTCCTTCCCATACACTGGATAAATGGAGCTCCTTCCTATAACACAGGTTGATGCTCTGCAGGACGCCACCTGCTGGAAGAATCGCAGCATGACGAGAGGTGACGAGAGGGAAGTATATTTGAGTGGTGGTATAAAAAGGCATTCAGATCCTCTTCTCTAGTGTCTCACTTAAAATTATGAATAAGAAATCCTATTGATGAAGAAAAGTCACAATTCTGAGAAAAGTCAACATTTGGAAGAAATGTATTTTCCTTGAAAAAGTCAAAATTCACATTTCTAAATAAAAGTGAAAATATTGGAAGAAAGCTGGACACCTATACAGATAACATCTCAAATTTTAGAAGCAAAACAGAAAGAATAGCACAACAGTTAAAAGGAGAAATGTAAAAAACATAAAAAATATGTTTATTTGTTTTTCACTGTCCCTTAAAGGTGGGGTAGGTAAGTTTGAGAAACCGGCTCGAGATACACTTTTTGTTATATTCCATTGAATGCTCTTAATATCCCGATAGCAATGAATATCTGAAGTGCTTTGACAAAAAATCCATTAAAAAAGTCATCTGTGGAAGCCGTAATACTGTAAAAAGTACAAACAATTGGATTGCTGCCCTGTCTGTCAGCCTTCCATCTCGTGCACGCACAAATTTATCTCGTGCCCTCATTGGGCGTGCCGTCATTGGACGTGCATTGCAGCAGTACTTCAATGACTCGCCAGCAACAGGCGGCCACTTTCACCAGTCTGCTGACGTCATGTGCGCGTTCATGTGTGTTGGAGGAGGTGCTCTGTAAGGAAGTCTGAAGGAAGGGGCGGATTCTTTTCGGCTGTGTACTTTTAAATTGTAGTGCACTCGAGCCGGTTTCTGAAACTTACCTACCCCACCTTTAAAGTCAACATTTCTGAAAAAGGCAAGATTCTGAAGAAGTTTACATTTCTGAGAAAAAAGTCAAAAACCTGAGAAAATCAATACAATTCTGAGAAAAGTCAAAATGTAAATTGAAGTGAAAATATTGGAAGAAAGCCGGACACCTATACAGATAAAATCTCTCAAACATTAGAAGCAAAACAGAAAGAATAGCACTACAGTAGAAAGGAAAAATATAAAAGGAAAAATGTTTATTTGTTTTGCACAAACAAAATATTTTCTTTTCAACACACATCTCTAATGATTTCTAACACATGCGGTATGTTTCGTGAAATTGAAATACAGGTTTGATAAACATTTTCCGGCACAGCTCAAAAAACACATTTGCTTTCACATATAACACAAGATTCTCACACAAAATTACAATCCCAGTTACCCTTTGTTTCTAAGTATCATTCAGTTTGACTCCAAGAGTTTTTTAAACCAAGACGATCAAAATATCAAACAACTATAATCCTTTTATTTTCGGCAAAATGGAAGGAAGCTCTTAGAGAACAAACATTAGACAATCAGTACATAGATAACTCTAGGACAAACGTATGGTCTCCAACTTAATACATTTTCCTAGGAAATGTAATTGAGCTGTTGATTAAACATTCACAACATCTCTCCACTGGCCCTTTTTAGGACCTTGTTTTCGACAAATAAAATAAATTATAATGAGAAACTCTTTAGAAATTACTTAAATACCATACCAAGTGATTTACATAGTTTGCATATAATGAACTGCCAGAACGATCACCATCCCGCCTTTTAAATAGTTTCAGCAGTTTAAAGGGTGTAGAATAAAAGGCATGAACACAATGCATGACAGTGGTGATAATCACATCAGATAAACAGGCTTTGGGGTGTGGTGAAACCAGACGTCAGAGCCTCATCGTCTGCAAACATCTTGTGTTTAAGCCTGAAGAAAAACAACTTAAACCCGAGCGGTTAAACTTGCCTCGTCGTCTTCTTCTGCAGAGCCATCATCCTGCTACCTTGTTTGCTTTATATAAAAGACAATGATTGCTTATGCTAATGTGAAAAGGCTCAGAGAGGAAGTCCATCAGTAACTGCAGACTGCCACTCCATTTAACTCTGGTGGAAGAAATGATGAGCAGCTAAAGTTAAACATTGGCACTTTGACTTTAATTAAAGCTGTCAAAGTAGGAAATCCATGAGCTTTCTTTCGGCTGAGCTTCCTTATGAAGTAAAGGATACAAGCAAGACAGTATGAAACAAATATATTGGTAGGATTAGTTAGGGTTAGTAGTTGTAGTTATCACACAACTTCTGACATCACTGGTGTAACATCCTGTATCAATTAGTACGTTTTTTTGTCTTTTTCTTGCTGAATCACTTTTTCTATGACACTTATGATCAGAAGAGTTTTTTTGTAACATAAGACAACATACAATTTAAGATTGACAAAGAAAATAACAAATGTTTTGCATTGTTTGTACCCTACCTCAGAAATAAAAAGGGGTTCTCTAATGTTGTAAAAGTAGGGTCAAGTATATAAATATATTATGCAGATATTTGTTTTAGAAAAGCAGAACTTTTCAGTCATAATTCACTATAGTTGTTGCTTTTGCACACATCTCTTAGAAACGGGGGTTTATAAAGTTGTGCTTTTTCATAATTCTGTCAATTAAGACAAAAAATTGATTGGTCGACAAAGTTATACGAGTGCAAGTCGACCAACAATTTCTTCATGATAACTCTTATATACCCTCTGATAGAAATGGATCTATCATTTTACTTTGGAGAGGTAAATCATCTCTTGCTACTTCACTTTTTGAATTATTTTGCTTTCAGTTCAGTGGATCTTTCTCCCCGAGTTGATTTTGCTTCTGTTCTCTTCCATCGCTTTCTCCAGCCAGTCCGATTCGCTCTCAGAGTCGCTGGCGTCGCTCCCGTTAGCCGCCAGCAGTCTCGAGTAATTAATCCTGCACTGTTGAGGGGCTTTAAACTGCAGCAGAGGCAGACACACACACCACAACATCACACACATCGCCGTCCCTCTGAACAGCCACGTCAACCCGAACCTCTGCCCCACAAAGCCCCCAGAAAAACTCCCCAAACTACTCCCCAAATTTAGCGAAAGAGAGCTGAAGATCCTCCTTACACTCCTCTCCGATCCCGGTGTAGCCACCTCCTCACACTGTATCTTCACGGCCCACCAGAGGGCGCCAGAGCTCAAACAACTCAACATCTGGGCGGGAATTACAGCCCACGGCCCCCACAGGAAGGAGAAGTAGAAACACTGCACACCGAGGCTTGCTGTCCCGACGACAAGCACCTTTCCTGGGGTGAGCAGCTTCGAAATCCGCCCTTTGAGTAAAGGATAGGCAGCCTGTGAAACTAAAGCGAGAGCTAACGAGACCCCCATGTGCATCTCGCTGCTCCCGTGGTCCTGCATCTGCCACAAGAGGAAATTATCCACAACGGATCCAGCGCACCCCACTAAAAAGGTGGTGGCGACGCAAAGCAAAGCGTGGGGGGAGTTGTGGACCAGCTGCAACGCTTTTAGGGGACCGAAACCCTGATCCCGCTTCTTATTCAGGTGCAGAGGGAGGTAGGCGGCGACAGGAAGCGCCACAAATCCGATGACAGCGTAGAGGAAGAAGTGTGCGGCCATCCGAGGGAAATTCCCGGCTATGAGGCAGGGTAATCGGCTAACGAGTAGTCCGGTTCCTCCGACGCCAAACGCGGCTCCGAGGATCCTCCAAATAGAGGTGATTCTGTATCGATCCGAAGCATCCGCGAAGTCGAGATACTCGTAAAGTCCGTCGTCCGCCGTCCATTCAAGAGGCGACGCCATTAGCTCCCACAGCGACACGGTGATGAGGATGAGGAAGAAGAGCTGGTGATGAGCGTCCATCACCTTCAGGCTGCCCAGAAACTCAAACCGTCTCTGGTTGTTCTCCTCCTCCATTTTTATTTCTGACCTTTTATTCCTAGTTTTGGATACAGAGGAAAGTGCAACACTGCTCTTAATCGCACCACCACCATCTGTCTGACTTTTGTTTGTGATATCTTCTGAAAGCGGAGGTATATCCAGATCATAAAGCGCCGTTTCGTTCGTCAGAAGCGGAGCAGGTTGAGCATCAGCGAGTGTCTTTACAGGAGTTTGAGAATCCGTAGTTCTGGGTAACGTGTGAGGTGCAACGCTGCTCTTAATCACACCACCACCTGTCGGACTTTGCGTCGGACCACCGCTCAGATCACTCGTAAAATGACAGTTTTCGTGCACTTCCACAGGCGGGAAGAACAGTAGAAGAAGAGCGACGGACGCCGAACAAACCAGAGATCCAACGATCACCGCCCTCCTCTGGTTGTAGTGTTTGGACAGCAGGCTGGAGGCGGGGCTCCACAGCAGAGCGATGAGGTGTTTAGTGCCCATGATGATGCCCGTCATGGAGGGAGAGAGACCCTGCTGACGGAGGAAGAGCGTGAGGAAGGGCAGCAGCGAGGCCCGGGCGCAAGAGGACAGGAAGTGGAAGGCGCCGGCCAGAGCGAGGGTACGCTGGATGTTGATCTGCTTGTTCCTCTTCATGGTGGAACGATGGTGGTCTGACAGGGAGTGGGTTTCAACTGGGAGACAAACAGAGGGGAGAGAGAGAGGGGAGAGAATACATTAAAGGTCACCTAGTATGCAAAAAATCCACTTTTTCACGTTCTCTTCTACATCAACATGTGTCCCCTCTTCTTCATGTCTCTTCTTATACATCAACATGTGTCCCCTCTTCTTCATGTCTCTTCGTACATCAACATGTGTCCCCTCTCTTCATGTTCTTCTTCTACATTCCAACTTGTGTCCCCTCTTCCTTCATGTCTCTTTCTTCATACAACATGTGTCCCCTTCTTCTTCATTGTCTCTTCTCCATCAACATGTGTTCCCACTGCCTGTCCCCTCTTCTTTCATGTCTCTTTTCTTACCATCAACATTGTGTTCCCCTCTTTTTCATGTCTCTTCTCCATTCAACATTGTGTTCCCCTCTTCTTCATTGTTCTCTTTCTACAATCACACATGTGTCCCCTCTTCTTCATGTCTCTTCTACATCAACTTTTGTCCCCTCCTTCTCATGTCTCTTCTACATCAACTTGTGTCCCCTCTTCTTCATGTCTCTTCTTCATCAACATGTGTCCCCCTCTTCTTCATGTCTCTTCTCCATCAACATGTGTCCCCTCTTCTTCATGTCTCTTCTACATCAACATGTGTCCCCTCTTCTTCATGTCTCTTCTACATCAACATGTGTCCCCTCTTCTTCATGTCTCTTCTACATCAACATGTGTCCCCTCTTCTTCATGTCTCTTCTACATCAACTTGTGTCCCCTCTTCTTCATGTCTCTTCTACATCAACTTGTGTCCCCTCTTCTTCATGTCTCTTCTACATCAACTTGTGTCCCCTCTTCTTCATGTCTCTTCTTCATCAACATGTGTCCCCTCTTCTTCATGTCTCTTCTCCATCAACATGTGTCCCCTCTTCTTCATGTCTCTTCTACATCAACATGTGTCCCCTCTTTTTCATGTCTCTTCTCCATCAACATGTGTCCCCTCTTCTTCATGTCTCTTCTACATCAACATGTGTCCCCTCTTCTTCATGTCTCTTCTACATCAACTTGTGTCCCCTCTTCTTCATGTCTCTTCTACATCAACATGTGTCCCCTCTTCTTCATGTCTCTTCTACATCAACTTGTGTCCCCTCTTCTCCATGTCTCTTCTACATCAACATGTGTCCCCTCTTTTTCATGTCTCTTCTACATCAACATGTGTCCCCTCTTTTTCATGTCTCTTCTACATCAACATGTGTCCCCTCTTCTCCATGTCTCTTCTTCATCAACATGTGTCCCCTCTTCTTCATGTCTCTTCTCCATCAACATGTGTCCCCTCTTCTTCATGTCTCTTCTACATCAACATGTGTCCCCTCTTCTTCATGTCTCTTCTACATCAACTTGTGTCCCCTCTTCTCCATGTCTCTTCGACATCAACATGTGTCCCCTCTTCTTCATGTCTCTTCTACATCAACATTTGTCCCCTCTTCTTCACGTCTCTTCTACATCAACATGTGTCCCCTCTTCTCCATGTCTCTTCTACATCAACATGTGTCCCCTCTTCTTCATGTCTCTTCTACATCAACATGTGTCCCCTCTTTTTCATGTCTCTTCTACATCAACATGTGTCCCCTCTTCTTCATGTCTCTTCTACATCAACATGTGTCCCCTCTTCTTCATGTCTCTTCTACATCAACATGTGTCCCCTCTTCTTCATGTCTCTTCTACATCAACTTGTGTCCCCTCTTCTCCATGTCTCTTCTACATCACCATGTGTCCCCTCTTCTTCATGTCTCTTCTACATCAACATGTGTCCCCTCTTCTTCATGTCTCTTCTACATCAACATGTGTCCCCTCTTCTCCATGTCTCTTCTACATCAACATGTGTCCCCTCTTCTTCATGTCTCTTCAACATCAACATTTGTCCCCTCTTCTTCACGTCTCTTCTACATCAACATGTGTCCCCTCTTCTCCATGTCTCCTCTACATCAACATGTGTCCCCTCTTTTTCATGTCTCTTCTACATCAACATGTGTCCCTCTTCTTCATGTCTCTTCTACATCAACATGGTTGTCCCCCTCTTTTCATGTGCTCTGTCTACATCAACATGTGTCCCCTCTTCTGTCATGTCCTTCTACATCAACATGTGTCCCCTCTTCTTCATGTCTCTTCTACATCAAATGTGTCCCCTCTTCTTCATGTCTCTTCTACATCAACATGTGTCCCCTCTTCTCCATGTCTCCTTCTACATCAACATGTGTCCCCTCTTCTTCATGTCTCCTCTACATCAACATGTGTCCCTCTTCTTTTTCATGTCTCTTCTACTCAACATGTGTCCCCTTCTTCTCATGTCTCTTCTACATCAACATGTGTCCCCTCTTCTTCATGTCTCTTCTACATCAACATGTGTCCCCTCTTCTTCATCTTCTTCATGTCTCTTCTACATCAACTTGTGTCCCCTCTTCTTCATGTCTCTTCTACATCAACTTGTGTCCCCTCTTCTTCATGTCTCTTCTACATCAACATGTGTCCCCCTCTTCTTCATGTCTCGTTCTAACATCAACATGTGTCCCCTCTTCTTCATGTCTCTTCTACATCAACATGTGGTCCCCTCTTTTTCATGTCTCTTCTACATCAACATGTGTCCCCTCTTCTTCATGTCTCTTCTACATCAACATGTGTCCCCTCTTCTTCATGTCTCTTCTACATCAACTTGTGTCCCCTCTTCTCCATGTCTCTTCTACATCAACATGTGTCCCCTCTTCTCCATGTCTCTTCTACATCAACATGTGTCCCCTCTTTTTCATGTCTCTTCTACATCAACATGTGTCCCCTCTTTTTTCATGTCTCTTCTACATCAACATGTGTCCCCTCTTCTCCATGTCTCTTCTTCATCAACATGTGTCCCCTCTTCTTCATGTCTCTTCTCCATCAACATGTGTCCCCTCTTCTTCATGTCTCTTCTACATCAACATGTGTCCCCTCTTCTTCATGTCTCTTCTACATCAACTTGTGTCCCCTCTTCTCCATGTCTCTTCGACATCAACATGTGTCCCCTCTTCTTCATGTCTCTTCTACATCAACATTTGTCCCCTCTTCTTCACGTCTCTTCTACATCAACATGTGTCCCCTCTTCTCCATGTCTCTTCTACATCAACATGTGTCCCCTCTTCTTCATGTCTCTTCTACATCAACATGTGTCCCCTCTTTTTCATGTCTCTTCTACATCAACATGTGTCCCCTCTTCTTCATGTCTCTTCTACATCAACATGTGTCCCCTCTTCTTCATGTCTCTTCTACATCAACATGTGTCCCCTCTTCTTCATGTCTCTTCTACATCAACTTGTGTCCCCTCTTCTCCATGTCTCTTCTACATCACCATGTGTCCCCTCTTCTTCATGTCTCTTCTACATCAACATGTGTCCCCTCTTCTCCATGTCTCTTCTACATCAACATGTGTCCCCTCTTCTTCATGTCTCTTCTACATCAACATTTGTCCCCTCTTCTTCACGTCTCTTCTACATCAACATGTGTCCCCTCTTCTCCATGTCTCCTCTACATCAACATGTGTCCCCTCTTTTTCATGTCTCTTCTACATCAACATGTGTCCCCTCTTCTTCATGTCTCTTCTACATCAACATGTGTCCCCTCTTTTTCATGTCTCTTCTACATCAACATGTGTCCCCTCTTCTCCATGTCTCTTCTACATCAACATGTGTCCCCTCTTCTTCATGTCTCTTCTACATCAACATGTGTCCCCTCTTCTTCATGTCTCTTCTACATCAACATGTGTCCCCCTCTTCTTCATGTCTCCTCTACATCAACATGTGTCCCCTCTTCTTCATGTCTCTTCTACATCAACATGTGTCCCCTCTTCTTCATGTCTCCTCTACATCAACATGTGTCCCCTCTTCTTCATGTCTCCTCTACATCAACATGTGTCCCCTCTTCTTCATGTCTCTTCTACATCAACGTGTGTCCCCTCTTCTTCATGTCTCTTCTACATCAACATGTGTCCCCTCCCTCTTCTTCATGTCTCTCTACATCAACATGTGTCCCCTCTTTTTCATGTCTCTTCTACATCAACATGTGTCCCCTCTTCTTCATGTCTCTTCTACATCAACATGTGTCCCCTCTTCTTCATGTCTCTTCTACATCAACATGTGTCCCCTCTTCTTCATGTCTCTTCTACATCAACATATGTCCCCTCTTCTTCATGTCTCTTCTACATCAACATGTGTCCCCTCTTCTTCATGTCTCTTCTACATCAACATGTGTCCCCTCTTCTTCATGTCTCTTCTACATCAACATGTGTCCCCTCTTCTTCATGTCTCTCTTCTACATCAACATGTGTCCCCTCTTCTCCATGTCTCTTCTACATCAACATGTGTCCCCTCTTCTTCATGTCTCTGCTACAGCAGCATGTGTCCCTTCTTCTTCTTCATCTCTCCTCTACATCAACATGTGTCCCCTCTTCTTCATGTCTCTTCTACATCAACATGTGTCCCCTCTTCTTCATGTCTCCTCTACATCAACATGTGTCCCCTCTTCTCCATGTCTCTTCTACATCAACATGTGTCCCCTCTTCTTCATGTCTCTTCTACATCAACATGTGTCCCCTCTTCTTCATGTCTCTTCTACATCAACATGTGTCCCCCTCTTCTTCATGTCTCTTCTACATCAACATGTGTCCCCTCTTCTCCATGTCTCTTCTACATCAACATGTGTCCCCTCTTCTTCAATGTCTCTTCTACATCAACATGTGTCCCCCCTCCTTCTTCATGTCTCTTCTACATCAACATGTGTCCCCTCTTCTTCATGTCTCTTCTACATCAACAGTGTGTCCCCTCTTCTTCATGTCTCTTCTACATCAACATGTTCCCCTCTTTCTCCATGTCTCCTCTACATCAACATGTTGTCCCCTCTTTCTTCAATGTCTCTTCTACATCAACATGTGTCCCCTCTTCTTCATGTCTCTTCTACATCAACATGTGTCCCCCTCGTCTCCATGTCTCTTCTACATCAACATGTGTCCCCTCTTCTTCATGTCTCTTCTACATCAACATGTGTCCCCTCTTCTTCATGTCTCTTCTACATCAACATGTGTCCCCTCTTCTTCATGTCTCTTCTACATCAACATGTGTCCCCTCTTCTTCATGTCTCTTCTACATCAACATGTGTCCCCTCTTCTTCATGTCTCTTCTACATCAACATGTGTCCCCTCTTCTTCATGTCTCTTCTACATCAACATGTGTCCCCTCTTCTTCATGTACTTCTACTTTTACTCAAGTAAAAAATCTAAGTACTTCTACTTTTACTCAAGTACATGATCTGAGTACTTCTACTTTTACTCAAGTACATGATCGGAGTACTTCTACTTTTACTCAAGTAAAAGATCTGAGTACTTCTACTTTTACTCAAGTACATGATCTGAGTACTTCTACTTTTACTCAAGTACTTGATCTGAGTACTTCTACAATTACTCAAGTACATGATCTGAGTACTTCTACTTTTACTCAAGTACATGATCGGAGTACTTCTACTTTTACTCAAGTAAAACATAAGTACTTCTTCCACCTCTGCATGAAAGCATAAACAGCTCAGTTCACCTGTGCAGCAGGATGCAACTGTTTGTCCAGGATCTGCAGATGTGGAGCTTTAGTCCACGTCACTTAAACTTTACAAGATAATACAATAAAAAATACTCTTTTACCTTTTAGACCTGTGGCCCTCAGGAACCTTCTTTAAACTTTTGTACCGGTCATCCTGCAGCTCAATCTGTTGCTTTATATCCACGATGAGTCTCTTTGGGAAGGAGTGCACCTGTTGCCGTGTGAATACGCTTCTTTATCGGTGTTTACCTGAGAGATTTTACAGCACTGCAGTGCCCCCTACAGGCGGGGAGGTCAATGTGCACCGAAGGAAAAGGAATATTTTGTTGAATAGCCATTATTGGGAAATTAATGTTCTGTTTGAATATTTTGAGTCAGTAGTTCTTTTTTGTTTTTCAACCTGTACGTTTTATATATTTCATTATTATTATTATTATTATTGACAGAAGGGGGGTAGGAACATATTTTAGTGGGGGGAAAATCTGTTATTTAAATTAACAAATGTAAACACATAAGTAGAAGTCAATAACAGATACATTTTTCATAATAATAATAATACCTTTAATAATAACAGTAATAATTATAATAACACTTTTTATTTTATATAATAATGCTACCGTTTTAAAAATGTTCCCATTTCTAATAAAAGAAAATCATTATTTCACACTTAAGTAAAATATTTAGTCATAGGTTATTTAATTTACAGCATTTTACTTTATGACACGTTTCTTTTACATAACATTCACATTGAGGAATTTAGAAACTCAACATTATTTTCCCAGAATAACACTTTATTTTGTTACCAGTTTAAACGGAAACACAAACTTAAAGTACCTTTAACTAAACCTTAAACCGTACTAAAGTAAATTAAGTTATATAAAGATTTAATACGAGATTAATTATGAACTCCACCATTAAAACAAATGATCAAGTCACTATCAGTTCACACAATGGACCGTCAATTAATGATTACTAACTTCCAGTTGCTATATATTGATGAACATGCCACACAATTAGCTGGAATAAACAAAAACGGACATTTCCAAGTGGTAGTCCGACTGCATTGAAAGCAACTCTTATACATTGCTTTAGCATTATTTTCATATTTTAAATAAGTGTGATAATAAAAAATGTATTTTAAGGGATTAAAATTACAATAACAAAGGTTTTTTGTCAAATAAGATAGAAAAATGTTGGTAATGCTTTGATTTAAGCTCCCATTTTTAGCATTTACAATTAGCATAAACATTGGATTAATTTACACTTAGTAACCCACTATTTTGTGCAACAAGAGCATTATCTACAGCGTTTTCTGCACACAGCTGACGGTCCTCAGACGGTCACACCTGTGAACGTTTGGATGGGCAGCGAGAGGGCTTTGTCCAGATATTTGCTAAAGTCCACAATTGGAACTAAAGATCTTCGGGAGCCGATGTCACATCCTGGGTCCAAACAGGGAGTGATATCTAGCCTGTAAAGTTATAACATTACATTTATATCACTTTCAATCTGCTTACTGTTAAGAGAAAATGTGAAAAAAGCTATATTTGAGTGTCGTAAATGACCTTTGAACGTCAGTGTATGTCCTGCAGGAGTCTTTGTCCAAACACACAGAGAGCGTTCGATGCTCCAGCGTCCGGATGGTGATGCTCTGGGTTTTGATCGTCTAAAATGAAAACAGAAAAGGTTTAGAAAGGTTCAGTTACAATAAAGTGGTGCAGGAATGAGTCCTAAAAAACCCTGAATTGAGTCAGCATTGTAGCACTTCCTGTTCCCTCATCTGGAAGTTTTTTTGTATGTGTTCTACGCATGGCAATGTTAGTTCAGCATTTTCATTGCGATCATGTTAGCACGCTATTTAGCATTAGCTCAAACCGCTGCTTTACCACTAGAAATATTACTTTGAATGACAGAAATATAATTAAATACTTACTGAGTTGTACACCGGGTTCAGACTGTCAAACATGACATCAAGTCGATTTACACCTGAAGAAAAAGTGATAAGGATTTCATTTTCTTGCATTGATATATATCTGTAAACGTAGTAAAAAATAAAAGAAGGTAAACCTGATGTTAAAGCTGCCGGCTCTGATGTAACCGCCACGCCATAGATCATGGTCGCCTCTCCATCTACAACCTGTCGTCTGCTTAGAGAGATCTGATGAGGATATGATAGTTAGCCAATATTCTGCTGAAGTTAATACTAAAAAGAAGGTATTCAAATGACCATTAATGATAAGGACTGTACCTTTGTGTAGCTGACAGAGATGACTGCTCCGAGGACTTTTGTTGGCTTCTTTGGCCATACAGACGTCCTCTCTGCCAAAGACAACACGTCACTTTGAGTAGCTATGATTTTAACACAGTCACAGTTAGTATACGAGGATAAAAAGAGGTCCAGAAACATACTTGATAACTTTTCTTTGAGGTGTCTGAACTCTGGGATGTCGGCCTCCAGATGGGACACAAACATCTCCTCCACCACAGATTGCCCTTCAGAGCTGGAGCGGGTTATCTAAACAGCAGGAAGTGCATGTGAACCCAACATCCCTCTGCCTTTTACATTTGCATACATGTTCATTATATCACTGTACCTTCACTGAATAGAGCGGCACGTTGACTGGCTGCGTCCCACAGCGAAGGTAGTAACACAGCGTGTCCAGTAAGTAGTGGTTTTGCACCGGTGACTCGCTTTTGTTAGCCTGCTGCAGTAGAGAAACATTGCAGAGATGTTAGCTATGATAGCATTTTCAAGATTCAAAGGTTTTAATGTCATATGCACATAAGCTACAGTGTAGAAATGGCAATGAAAATGACCCGAGCTCCTCCAACGATGCAACATGTATAATAAAATACAAAAATACAAATACAAAATTGTGCAAGAAGTCTATATACAAGTAAATAGAATATGATGTAAACAAGAATAGAATGTAAAATTAAATATTGTACAGTAAGATGAAATTAAATAACTATTTAGATAATGGCTCTATGGATGCAAATGTTAGTGCTAAATGCTAATTGCCCAAATGTTAGCATCCTTAAACAGTAGGCCTATACTATGTGGTAGATATTGTACCCTCTTAACATTAGCATCTAAGCATTTTCATTGCGAGCATGTAAGCATGCTACTTAGCATTAGCCCAAAGCACTGCTCTGCTAACAACTTCGATGTTTCGTTGTCTCAAAGTTGTTTTTGATGAGTTATGGGTAGATGCATGAAAAATGTAGTGGTTAATACAGGTTTAAGAGGTTTTGTTCTAAGCCAAAACCACGTCAGTAAATACCCCACTAGTGAATTCAAAAACGGCAGTGGCTAAATAACCAACCCAGTCTCACAGGATTTCGTGTTATAGCCTACTCACGAAATGTAATCTATTGATTCGTGTTCACCAACACGATTTCCCCATTTTTTTCGTGTCACACAGAACGATTTTAAAAGCAATGTAAATAATAACAAAATAGAAAGAAAACATATTTTAAAAATACAGATTTCAGTATTCTGAGGCTCTGAGACCAGTGGTGGCGCCAGGGTATGGCTGGGGTAGGCTACAGCCATACCAAGAAATGGCTTAGCCCCACCATGAAAAATGATGTTAAAGTAAGCTAAATAAGGTCCGCCAACTCGCGCGGAGTAAATTGCACAGACAGCGGTTAGTAAGATTGATTTCAGTAGCCACTTGTCCACTTGTCTGGAAATACCGAAGACTAGAAACGGTTTTGAAAAAACTTTTGTCACATAGTGATCGTCTTCTTAATAGAACATCTTTGATAATGTCTTCTGGCCAATCAGAATCAAGATAACGGCGTGTTGTTGTTGCAGGAAGTCCCGACGGAGAATACTTTTACTGTAATACATCTCTATATACATCGATACAACATTACGTGTTGATAGAAATCAACCCGTAATGAAATAAGACCCCACGGTTTGATGATAGATAGGTGTGTGGGCTGTCTTTCATTTTGACACACAGAACAATGGGGGCTATCCACCCTTATCCACAATGTAAAGTAATTCACAGCCTCTTCCCTCTTCTCTCTGTGAGGAGCAGCAGGTTCAGCTTTCAGAACAAAGTAACAAAAAACTAAAATGGCATTCATTTTTTTAAATATGTCGTGTAGTAATAGATTTATTTATTGTTCTTCTGAAGAGAGTACAAGAATGTGTATTTGATGTTAGTATTTCAAAAAATCTCCTGGGGGACAATCCCCCCAGACCCCCCTGCAGGGGTTGGGTTTTCAGGATGTCAACTCTTTCACCTGTGGAGAAATTGCAGGATTGGCTCCAGGTCGCCCTTTTTATTTACTACAAGACAGATGTCCCTTTTTATTTCATACAGTTCAATTTGGATTGAGACAGGGAAATAATCTAAACCTCACGCGTGGCGTTTCACTGTCAAGGGGAGCGTGTATGTAATTACATTAGAAATACTGACTTGAGCCCCACCACTGTGGGTTAGCCCTACCATAGATTACCCAACAAAAATACTCTGGAGCCGCCACTGTCTGAGCCCCATATATTTTCCTCACGGACGGCAAAAAAAGTCAGACATTATACAATTAAAAATAAAAACAATAATCGTGGCTTGATATTGAGTAATAAAATGTTTTTATGAACCGCACAGCTTCCGGTCTTCCAAGACCCAACCGGACAAAAAGACGTGGTGCAGGCACAAAACCAGGGACGTGCACAGACATTTGGACCTTTTGAAAATTGTAACTTGTTTTTAATGTAAAAGAAACGATTATTACATCAACTAAATTGAACAGTAATTCACATCTCATAACAAAATACGCTAAGGCGACTACTTGCATTCGGTGACTTGATTTTAAAAATGAAAACCAGGGAACATTTTTGTTTTGCGGTCCATATCTCATTAAAAATATCTAATGTTAGTAACAATTACAAACAAAATGGAGACAATTCTGTTTTAATGTAGTTTGATGATTGTAACTGCTGTGCAGTCCAGACATACTGATAAAATAGGGCCTCTAACTAATTACCTTAAATAAACTCACTAATTAATGAAACCAGTTCAAAACGCATTCTTATTCTTATCATTCTTTATGAGCACACTAACGGTAAGGTATCTAATTACTTATTTATTTAGTATTCCATAACTTAGTAACAGAGATTGTCAAACTGAAGTGGTAGAGACATGGCAGAAATCCTACAATGAAGCGGGACATTGAACTGTTCACCCGTGAGAGGGCGATCAAGAAAAGAGAGCGAGCGTTGAGGGAGTTTACAGATGAGAAGACACAGAAAGACAGAAGCTCAATAACAACAAGTAGGCTATATTTAGGTGTTCTTTTGTAAATAACCGACGGTATCAAGAGGAAGTAAAGTCCCCTGGTTTGTCCCTTATACCCTAACTGCCTTGAGACAACTCAAAATCAAGTTTCCAAAATCCGACACTGAGGTGGTCTTAACGCACCGGCAGATGAGAGCGCTGACAAAGTGTGTTTCCCGCAGCGAGACGCTACAATACTAATTGTGGGTTCATCATGTTGATTCGGCCACAACAGAAAAACAAACTCTCGCTCTCTCCAGAGGGGCAGGTCAGCCAAAAAGGCCAAAGGGGCTGTTGCCCAGGTAACATTAGCCCGTACCTGTGCACGTCCCTGCACAAAACATACTACCAATAGATATACATTGCTATTAAAATTGTTCTGTGTGACACGAAAAAAAGGGGGAAGTCGTGTTGATGAACACGAATCAATAGATTACATTTTATATTCGTGACTATTACACGAAATGCCGTGAGACTGGGTTGAAATAACACTACTATACGTGTCATCACACCAAACACTAGCCGCTTTTAGCTTAGCGGTGGTGATGTGAAGTCATGTGACCGTGCTGTAGTTCCTTTATAGCCCAACATTAGCCACCTTTAGCTTAGCGGTGGTGACGTGAAGTCATGTGACCGTGCTGTAGTTCCTTTATAGCCCAACATTAGCCACCTTTAGCTTAGCGGTGGTGACGTGAAGTCATGTGACCGTGCTGCAGTTCCTTTATAGCCCAACATTAGTCACCTTTAGCTTAGCGGTGGTGACGTGAAGTCATGTGACCGTGCTGTAGTTCCTTTATAGCCCAACATTAGCCACCTTTAGCTTAGCGGTGGTGACGTGAAGTCATGTGACCGTGCTGTAGTTCCTTTATAGCCCAACATTAGCCACCTTTAGCTTAGCGTGGTGACGTGAAGTCATGTGACCGTGCTGTAGTTCCTTTATAGCCCAACATTAGCCACCTTTAGCTTAGCGGTGGTGACGTGAAGTCATGTGACCGTGCTGTAGTTCCTTTATAGCCCAACATTAGCCGCCTTTAGCTTAGCGTGGTGACGTGAAGTCATGTGACCGTGCTGTAGTTCCTTTATAGCCCAACATCAACCGCCTTTAGCTTAGCGGTGGTGACATGAAGTCATGAGACCGTCTAAACTAAGAGCTGCTAGCATCACTGTCTTGTCTAATCTATGGTTACCTTTCCAGTCAGTTTGGAGATTGCAGCTCCCAGACTGTTGATGTTGTTGTTGTAACATGGATCTACTCTTCCCAATAAAGAAGAAAGAGACAATGTGCCTCCATCCTGACATGGGCTTCCCTTTGAGAAATAACAGACATATTAGGGTCATGTACTGTACTTCAATTACGGCAGTTAGTTTAGCTTTGAGTATAACTCACAGTTGAACTGAGCGAAGGATCCCCATCAGTGACTGGGATGTAGTACAACCGTATGTTCAGTTTATTGGTCAAAATTAGATGTTTTGACTCTCTTTTTCTGTTGGGAAATACACGGAAAACAGTGGTGGTAAAATGAGTAAACTTATAGAAGTGCACAGACATAATGCAAAAGCAGAAAAGGTTTAAGAAACATTCTTATTAGCAGATTCTGCATGCATACCAAGATTTTGCCATGGTTTCTGTTTTTGATTGAAGTAGTTTTAACCAATTTGAGCGGGCTGTGGTTCTTTGCAAGTAAACAGTCCGTGTCGAGAACAATACAGGCCAAACACAATGCTCTCGATGCATTATTTCTCCCCCTTTACCCTCCGTCCCTAAATCCAAAAGTGATGTGATAGCTTTGAAAAACCTACTGGCAAGAGGACAAACATTGGCTAAATGGCTAATGCATCTGCTCATCATAATTACTAGATTAATGACCTCCTACCAAAGGTCAGGTTTTTCCTAAGTGGCTCCTAAAATGCATTTGGGAAAGCGTTGATCCTATTTTTCATCCCAATCATTGCTGATTGAAGTGTTGCATTTCTAAAAAGGATCACTTTCTATTAGCCTAAAATCAGCGTGTCAAGAGTCTACTTGTGATACAATCCAATCCTTCACGTAGTCTTTCTACTCCATCTCCATTCTCACGTCTTAAGTTGCTAATTGGACTGTAAGCAATTAAGGGGCACACATACAAGGAAGTCATAGTTCAGATATCCCATAGCAATATTGCCACGTTCCTTCTAAGAATAAATTGTCATCTGACCGATGGGTTTCGAGATTAGAAACACATGTAATAATACACCTTTTGGAAGAAGAACAAACCAGCAACTCACCGGATCGAGTGATAAGCCCTGGAAAGTCTTCCAAGCACACGGTTGTCTCCCAGTACCACGACCCTGGCTGTGTGATGACCTCTGTTTTCATCGAGGAGAGGAGAACTTCCAGGACATGCTTCCATCTTCTTCATCACGAGACTCAGTTTATCTGCTAAGCTTGAGTTCTTATAGCCATTTCTTCGTGAGATTGCCGGTGCATGATTTCTGACCGGAGATGTCACTGCGTCGTCACAGTCGTTCCGATCTCTCACTATGCCACTGTCTCTAGACTGGACTGAATCCCTTTTGTCCTTCTCCTCTTCATCAACACTGGCTGAGTTAGAGCAGGCGAAGTTTGCCAGCAGATTCCCTTTGGGACAGATTCATTAAGTTTTACTGCATCAACTGGATTTTACTGACAGAAATATAGAATAGTTTGTCTGATTGACTCACATAGATCCTCTTCTTCTCTCCACAAGAGGAAGTTGATCCCTGGGAAAGGCATTGCAGTGCTGCGCACAGAACCAGGATCTAGTCTGGGTCCATCTGAAAACACAGGGTAACGTTAACGTCGTGGTAACCCTGTCAATATCTTAATTCATATCTACAACAGAGCAGAACACACACCTTCTTTAGAGGCACTCAAGATGTCTCTGTAAATGTGTTGTAGTTTGTTCAGATAGTTTGCACGACCCTCTGCACCTTGCTTCAAACTCTTCTCCACGGCCAGAATCACTTCCTGGAAATGTTTCTCTACCATGGGTTCCTCTAAAGCCTGAAACACAAAAACAAGAAGCAGGATTATACTGAATCGGAAATCCTTCATTCGTTCCAAAGCAGGGACATTTATAATACATAATCCTAGTTTAAGGGAGATGGAATTGGTCATAAACTAAATTATTGGACAAATCACAAGAGTGTTTGTAAGAGCCATTTCCTTAGTTTATAATAATTTATCAATTTAGACTACATTCTTGGGAGTGTGACACTATAGTGTGGTTCCTTATTCTCCTTTTAGTATACATTTAAGTACCAGTTTATGTAGGAAATAGTTTGTTTGAAAAAGTGTATTCATTTTTTGCATCACCTTTTGGAATATCAAGAATATTTTACTTTTCAATCGCATCTGGACATTCCTTTTTTCTCAACAACAAGCGTCTATTCATCTGTCAGCCCATGAGGGAATCACAAACAAAAGAATCAAACAAATCGATATCGTGGTCACTACAGTGTTCTTGAGGCTACTTTTCACCGCTATGAATATCAATCAATCAATCAATGTTTATTTATACAGCCCAATATCACAAATGTTACATTTGTCTCAGTGGACTTCACAGTTTGTACAGAATATCAGTATGACAATACGACACCCTCTGTCCTTAGACCCTCTGTCCTTAGACCCTCTGTCCTTAGACCCTCTGTCCTTAGACCCTCACATCGTACAAGGAAAAACTTCCGGAGAAAACCCACAGTTTAAAGGGAACAAGGGAGAAACCTCAGGGAGAGCAAGAGAGGAGGGATCCCTCTCCGAGGACGGACAGACGTGCAATAGATGCCGTGTGTAAATCGAAGAGATAATACATTAATAATATGTGTAGGTTTTGAGATTATGTCTTGCTCTGGGGAAGTATAACTCTGAAAGGATCATCCAGTGAGATGATTGAATGTCTGAACCAAATATCCAAATACACAATAGTTATATTATATAAACATATCTGTCTTACTTTACCCAAACAACTTCATAATCTATCTCACCTCCAGAGCTTGAGCCAGTCTGGAGCTCTGACAGTTAATTCCCAGCCCCGTCTGCAGCACACGTTGCAACACATTTCTCTCCATGGTTGGTGCGTCTTTGAGAAAGTTGGACGCCTCCAAATGTGCTCTTACTGCTGCCTCCAGTGGAGCAGAAAACACAGCCGGGTCAGCGAGCACAAACACCCTGCAGGACATCAGCAGGTAGTAGTAAAGGTTTAGGTAGTGTTACATTTTGCAAGTTAAAGGTCTCCTATTATGCAAAATCCACTTCTTCATGTCTCTTCTATATCAACATGTGTCCCGTCTTCTTCATGTCTCTTCTATATCGACATGTGTCCCCTCTTCTTCATGTCTCTTCTACATCAACATGTGTCCCCTCTTCTTCATGTCTCTTCTACATCAACATGTGTCCCCTCTTCTTCATGTCTCTTCTACATCAACATGTGTCCCCTCTTCTTCATGTCTCCTCTACATCAACATGTGTCCCCTCTTCTTCATGTCTCTTCTACATCAACATGTGTCCCCTCTTCTTCATGTCTCTTCTACATCAACATGTGTCCCCTCTTCTTCATGTCTCTTCTACAACAACATGTGTCCCCTCTTCTTCACGTCTCTTCTACATCAACATGTGTCCCCTCTTCCTCATGTCTCTTCTACATCAACATGTGTCCCCTCTTCTTCATGTCTCTTCTACATCAACATGTTTCCCCTCTTCTTCATGTCTCTTCTACATCAACATGTGTCCCCTCTTCTTCATGTCTCTTCTTCATCTCCATGTGTCCCCTCTTCTTCATGTCTCTTCTACATCAACATGTGTCCCCTCTTCTTCATGTCTCTTCTACATCAACATGTGTCCCCTCTTCTTCATGTCTCTTCTACATCAATATGTGTCCCCTCTTCTTCATGTCTCCTCTACATCAACATGTGTCCCCTCTTCTCCATGTCTCTTCTACATCAACATGTGTCCCCTCTTCTTCATGTGTCTTCGACATCAACATGTGTCCCCTCTTCTTCATGTCTCTTCTACATCAACATGTGTCCCCTCTTCTTCATGTCTCTTCTACATCAACATGTGTCCCCTCTTCTTCATGTCTCTTCTACATCAACATGTGTCCCCTCTTCTTCATGTCTCTTCTACATCAACATATGTCCCCTCTTCTTCATGTCTCTTCTAAATCAACATGTGTCCCCTCTTCTTCATGTCTCTTCTACATCAACATGTGTCCCCTCTTCTTCATGTCTCTTCTACATCAACATATGTCCCCTCTTCTTCATGTCTCTTCTAAATCAACATGTGTCCCCTCTTCTTCATGTCTCTTCTAAATCAACATGTGTCCCCTCTTCTTCATGTCTCTTCTACATCAACATATGTCCCCTCTTCTTCATGTCTCTTCTAAATCAACATGTGTCCCCTCTTCCTCATGTCTCTTCTACATCAACATGTGTCCCCTCTTCTTCATGTCTCTTCTACATCAACATGTGTCCCCTCTTCTTCATGTCTCTTCTACATCAACATGTGTCCCCTCTGTGGAAAGAGACTCTGAAAGTTTCAGGAACAAAGATTCTCTCTCTTTTTGATCCATTTCTATAAAAACCTGTCTGAAAATGAGCTGATCAGATTTTGGCCACTTTGTGATGTCATAACGATGTGTTGTCTTGTGTAACCATTAGCCAATCAGCAACCAAGGTAACCCCCCCCCCCCCCCCCCTTATCACCTGAATCTCCTCCTAGAGCTCCATTGAGTTCTTTGTAACCAAATCTCTCTCAGAGGGGCGTGGGGAGGGGCTCCTTATTTTCATCTAAAGTAACAGACAGAGCATCAACACTTTGGAAACAGGGCTGAAACAGAGGGGATTATGGGTAATGCTGCAATGAGCTGTTTGGTGTTTCAGCCAATCAAAGACAGGCTCTGGATATATCTGAGACCTATAATATATTGATGGAAAACAGTATAATAGGGGACCTTTAATACAAGATGATTGTCATTCAAACTATAAACTCACTTTTCCTGCAAGGCGTGATGCTCCTTCCTCAAGTTCTGCTCTGCAGTGACTGTCCTTAGATATAAGGAACCTGTTAGAGGAAGGATTAGACCGTCAAGAAAACTTATTTTACACCATGATACTCTATAGTGGTGCAGGAATGAGTCTTAAACCCCGTAATGAGTAAGCATTTTGGCCCTTCCAGTTCGCCTGTCTCAAAGGCAATGGTTTATTGAATTGGTTTTTGGTTTGAAGTCTGAAACAAGTTCTGTGCTGAAAATATTTTTACATTTTATTCTATGAGTGGTGCAATAATGCATCCTAAAACAGGTAATCAAGACAATTGTTTGGTATTTCCGGGATCTATGGTCTTGAAGTCAATGAGTTTGTGGTTAACACAACCGAAACAGATTTTAACATTTTGTTCTACTATATAAAACAAGTCATTAAATACCCCACAGGCGAATTTAAAAACAAGAGTCTAAATGAGACGACTAAACGTCATCACGCCCAACATTAGCCACCTTTAGCTTAGCGGTGGTGACGTGAAGTCATGTGACCGTGCTGTAGTTCCTTTATAGCCCAACATTAGCCACCTTTAGCTTAGCGGTGGTGATGTGAAGTCATGTGACCGTGCTGTAGTTCCTTTATAGCCCAACATTAGCCGCCTTTAGCTTAGCGGTGGTGACGTGAAGTCATGTGACCGTGCTGTAGTTCCTTTAGAGCCCAACATTAGCCTCCTTTAGCTTAGCAGTGGTGACGTGAAGTCATGTGACCGTGCTGTAGTTCCTTTATAGCCCAACATTAGCCACCTTTAACTTAGCGGTGGTGACGTGAAGTCATGTGACCGTGCTGTAGTTCCTTTATAGCCCAACATTAGCCTCCTTTAGCTTAGCAGTGGTGACGTGAAGTCATGTGACCGTGCTGTAGTTCCTTTATAGCCCAACGTTAGCCACCTTTAGCTTAGCGGTGTTGAAGTAAAACCCCTGCACCACTCTTTTGTGTCTGCTGATGCTTCATACCTGGTGTGGTCATTTCCATTTTGATGCTCCTCATAGTGCTGTGGGCCACAGTGGAGTAAGGCGACGGTAATATCAGCAATTTCATCAAACGGTCATACACTGTCTGGAAAAGGCTGGTAGGAATCATGACACCTGACTGGAAAGATAAGTACAGAATCAGCAAAACTGTAAAACTGACATCACTACCAACTGTATTTCGGACAAGGCAATGCTATTTCATTGTTAAATAAAGTCAAAAATAGTGTGTGAATCCGGATCAGATTCGTTCCCAAATGTAAAGAGGGTGTCGTTTTTCACATACTGATATACTGAACAATCTGTGCTGTTGTATTTGCTGTAAAGTGTCTCTACTGTAGGCTATTTTTATTATATGTACAGCACTTTGGCTCCACCAAAAATCGTTTATAAATGTGCTATAAATAAAACTTGATTTGATTTGATTTGAAATTTAATGAGTTCTTCCTTGTTGCATGCTTCCCCCTTTCACCAAGTTTCATTAAAATTCGGACAGTGGTTTTTCTATAATCTTACTGAAAGACAAACCACCTGAACTGAAAACATAACTTCCTTAATGAAGGTATAGAGATGTGTCTTACCTTAATAACCACAGAGTAGAGCATGTGCAGCACTGGGATCACATGTGTGAAGGATTGTGTTTTTTGGATCTAAGAGACATCAAATAAAAGATAACAGTTACATAACATTTATGAAAAAAATTAAGTATGCAGGCAGAATTATAAACAACTCTTCCTCTACAAGACAGACACACACAAGTCTTTGGAAATCTACATTGTAATTTGTAATGGACATTGAAATCTGAAGGCATATTTTAATGGTTTACCATCTCCTGCCTCTTTTTCAGCTCTTTGACCAGCAGTCTGATCAATGAAACGCTGCAGGAGGGATCGGCCTCCAGCTTCCTCTGAAGACTCCATCGCAGCATCCCTGCAGAGCACACAGATTCAAGATTCAAAGGTTTTAATGTCATGTGTGGTGGAAACTTATTGAGACAAACCAGTAAATAATATAAAATGGTGAGGAAACCTTTCCGTAACTGAATTGAAGATTCTTGAAATAAGACAGTCTTTTAGGGAGTTTATTCTTGCAAGAAGGTACATCGTACAGCTGACATCCTCGTGGATTCATCTTCTTATTACAGACACATGCATTTCCTAACATTCGGTCTATATGCTGTAAAATGTATTATCTCTTGGATTTACACACGGCATCTATTGCACGTCTGTCCGTCCTGGGAGAGGGATCCCTCCTCTGTTGCTCTCCCTGAGGTTTCTCCCATGTTCCCTTAAACTGTGGGTTTTCTCTGGAAGTGTTTCCTTGTACGATGTGAGGGTCTAAGGACAGAGGGTCTGAGGACAGAGGGTCTAAGGACAGAGGGTCTGAGGACAGAGGGTCTGAGGACAGAGGGTCTAAGGACAGAGGGTCTAAGGATAGAGGGTCTAAGGACAGAGGGTCTAAGGATAGAGGGTCTAAGGACAGAGGGTCTAAGGACAGAGGGTCTAAGGACAGAGGGTCTAAGGATAGAGGGTCTAAGGACAGAGGGACTAAGGACAGAGGGTCTAAGGATAAAGGGTGTCATTTTTCTCATACTTATATTCTGAACAATCTGTGCTGTTGTATTTGCTGTAAAGTGTCTCTACTGTAGGCTATTTTTATTTTATGTACAGCACTTTGGCTCCACCAAAAATCGTTTATAAATGTGCTACATAAATAAAACTTGATTTGATTTGATCGTTACAGAGAGTCAAGCAGTCTGCAGCGAAGTACAAAGTCAGAAGGTCTTCAGAGGGTCTGATATTCACACCAAGAATAGAAGAGGAGGGGCTGAGACACACAGAAAAGATAATCATACTATATATAGGATTCTTCAAAACATGTCTTCTAGCAAATGGAGAAACGTCTACACTTCACAAAAGGACAACACCCTAACCTTACGACACTGAATAGCTCTAACCCCATTCACCACTCATTTAGGTTATTGCTGCTTCCTGAAATAGCTTGTAAAAGAAGAACAGATGGTGAACTTTAAAAGCTCCCTAAGTATGATACAAGTTTCCATCACACATGCACATGAGCTACAGTGTAGAAATGGAAATGATAATCCTATGAACCTAGCTCGTCCAGCGATGCAACATATATAATAAAATACAAATAAAAAATAGTGCAAGAAGTCTATATACAGGTTAATAGAATATGAACAGAATGTAAAATTAAATATTGTTTATTGCGGTGATAACTATTTAGATAAATACGTAAATTGCAAGATGACAAACAGATGAATGTTTATCGAGGCACTTAACATGATGTTGATGTTGGACTGTGGACATTACACTGATGTTTGTTGACTAATATATCAATTATTCTTGGGGATTGTAGTCCAGTGTAGACAATATCATGTTCAAGTAATATAGAGATGCTTGTAAGACCTCAAAACTAAAAGTAATACAGGTTTAGGATATTGTTAAAATCTAAAACCTAAATCTAAGACTTTTCGAGAAATAAAGTATTTGTTTTTAGGTGTTTACATTTTAGTACTTCTCTTCGTTTATTTATACTCTTTTACTTCTCTTATGTGTAAGGCCTTAATGCTGCTGCAATGCAAACAAACTGTTAAATAGGCTTAGTTTTCTTTTAAATTGCCCTTCATTCCCTAATTTCTACCTTTCTGAAAAGCATTTTGTCCGCCCGTCTCTTTGAGGAGAGCCTGGATGTTGTTGTTCAGACTGGACTCCAAAGTCGAGGGACGAACATCAGCTTAAAAAACAAGATCATACATGTTGTTGTTATATTATCCTCCACAGTCAAGTTCACATTCTCCTACGCCGAGTTTCAACCAGCTGAACAGGTTCGATTCGTTTTTGGAGGAAATTAAAAAGCACTTACTGGTAGAATCCACCATGTTGTCTGCTTTTCAGACTCTCACGAAACAGGTCGTCCCAACCAGAGCAAATGAGGAAAACTGAAACATCAGCTTAACTAACATTAATGATAAAAACACTTGCAACCAATCAGAAGAAATACAAGCAAAACAACCTAAATTAAACTGTCAGAGCTTACCATTGTAGCTTTCTACTTTAATTAATGTCTTCCTCTGCTTCTACCTGTGCTGGAAATGACGTAGTAAAGCCAGGTAGTTTCAAGTGAGACAGGGTGAGAGGAGGAGGAAGTTCACAAGAGGGCAGTCCCTGTCTAGACTGCAAGAGCCAACAAAATGAACACAACTGCATTAAGAAGGATTTTATTTTTGAAATGTGGCGAGATATAAACACACAATGAAATGCAATCACTTCAAAAATAAATAGCTTATTTTACAACACATATATTTACTCAGCAGGAAGTACACAGTGGTAATCAAGTAATCAGTTTAATGCTCCTGACAGCAGATCATTGGCATTCATTTTCTATTTTTACAAACTTCAAGCAACTACGGGAATTAAACTAGACTGAAAATAAACGTTTCTGGAAACAGTCCAACACGCCTCCTTTTGATCAAGATGTGACACAGCTGTATATCATCTACAGATAAACCTGAAATGTGAGTGCTTTAATACATGTATTTGTACAGTGCTACTTCATAAAGTGGTGCAGGAAGGAGGAACCAAGAAATTAGTCAGCACTTTAGGAGTTTATGTTATCGCTCATCTGGAAGTCAATTATGTTTTTGGTTGTTAGCCTGAAATAAGGTCTGTGGTTAACAGATATTTTTGATCTACAACATAGAATACGTCACTAAATACCACGTTGATGAATTTAAAAATGGCGGTTGCTAACAAGTGTCTAAATGAGACTACTAAACGTCATCACGCCCAACATTAGCCTCCTTTAGCTGAGCGGTGGTGACGTGAAGTCATGTGACCGTGCTGTAGTTCCTTTATTTATAGCCCAACATTAGCCAAAATCCAATTGAAAAATCCCATTGGCTTTTTGCTGAGTGAACCAGGTAGATGCTAACTTTCAGATTATCCTACAAAAATACCTCATCCCTGCACCACTTGAATCTCTTTTATCTACACAGTCTCTTTATTCCGCATCCAGCATTGCTTCAGTTTTAAGAATCCGTGGATTGTCTCAGACTGAGTGTTTTCAGGGCGGAGAGGCAGAGAAGGAGGTGAGGGGGAGGCAGAGCAGGGAGCAGTAGGACGGGTGCAGAGGCTGAACCTGACCCGGAGACGGTTTATAGGATCTCCAGTCTGAACCACTTCCTGATTTAGAGCACAGAGACACCTCACACCTGCAGGCACAGAATATAATGATTAACGCAAGTGCAGAAAATTAGGCTGTGAAATTCAAATGTAATATCTGCTTTAACTAACACATCATGTAAACATTTTAGTATTTACTCATTTCCACCACATTTAGCCATTATCTTATGTTTGACCTATGGTGCAAATAAATGCTATTCTCCTGGTTTCTATTAGAGGCATATTAGCTGTTTTACTGCATGAAAATCAATGTTGCTGCTCATCATTGACATATCCCAGACTGTGAAGAAAAATAAATTCAGCTTAGCATTTAGTACACAGAAAGTTGCATTATTTAAACATGATGATAACTGAAAAGTAATGTAGGGAGGTTTACACTTTTGTATTGGTACTTATTATTGTGTTAAGGTTTATGATCTACCTGGTGACACTTTGGATGAACTTCTTCTCATCCTGATCCAGACACACAGCAAAAGTCGTTCCAACTTCTCTTCCATGAACCTGCACCTTATCCACCTTCACCTCGGAGACACAGATGTGCTGCAAGCGGAGAGAAAAGAGTTGTCATATTCATGTGTTCACACCACCTGTATGCTAGGCTATAAAGGAACTACAGCACGGTCACATGACTTCACGTCAACACCGCTAAGCTAAAGGCGGCTAATGTTGGGCTAAAAAGGAACTACAGCACGGTCACATGACTTCACGTCAACACCGCTAAGCTAAAGGCGGCTAATGATGGGCTATAAAGGACATACAGCACGGTCACATCACTTCACGTCCACACCGCTAAGCTAAAGGCAGCTAATGTTGGGCTAAAAAGGAACTACAGCACGGTCACATGACTTCACGTCACCACCGCTAAGCTAAAGGCGGCTAATGATGGGCTATAAAGGAACTACAGCAGGGTCACATGACTTCACGTCCACACCGCTAAGCTAAAGGCAGCTAATGTTGGGCTATAAAGGAACTACAGCACGGTCACATGACTTCACGTCACCACCGCTAAGCTAAAGGCGGCTAATGATGGGCTATAAAGGAACTACAGCAGGGTCACATGACTTCACGTCCACACCGCTAAGCTAAAGGCAGCTAATGTTGGGCTATAAAGGACATACAGCACGGTCACATGACTTCACGTCACCACCGCTAAGCTAAAGGCGGCTAATGTTGGGCTAAAAAGGAACTACAGCACGGTCACATGACTTCACGTCACCACCGCTAAGCTAAAGGTGGCTAATGTTGGGCTATAAAGGAACTACAGCACGGTCACATGACTTCACGTCACCACCGCCAAGCTAAAGGTGGCTAATGTTGGGCTATAAAGGAACTACAGCACGGTCACATGACTTCACGTCACCACCGCAAAGCTAAAGGAGGCTAATGTTGGGCTATAAAGGAACTACAGCACAGTCACATGACTTCACGTCACCACCGCTAAGCTAAAGGCGGCTAATGTTGGGCTATAAAGGACATACAGCACGGTCACATGACTTCACGTCCCCACCGCTAAGCTAAAGGTGGCTAATGTTGGGCTATAAAGGAACTACAGCACGGTCACATGACTTCACGTCACCACCGCTAAGCTAAAGGAGGCTAATGTTGGGCTATAAAGGAACTACAGCACAGTCACATGACTTCACGTCACCACCGCTAAGCTAAAGGCAGCTAATGTTGGGCTATAAAGGAACTATAGCTCGGTCACATGACTTCACGTCACCACCGCTAAGCTAAAGGCGGCTAATGTTGGGCTATAAAGGACATACAGCACGGTCACATGATTTCACGTCCCCACCGCTAAGCTAAAGGTGGCTAATGTTGGGCTATAAAGGAACTCCAGCACGGTCACATGACTTCACGTCACCACCACTAAGCTAAAGGAGGCTAATGTTGGGCTATAAAGGAACTACAGCACAGTCACATGACTTCACGTCACCACCGCTAAGCTAAAGGCAGCTAATGTTGGGCTATAAAGGAACTATAGCTCGGTCACATGACTTCACGTCACCACCACTAAGCTAAAGGAGGCTAATGTTGGGCTATAAAGGAACTACAGCACAGTCACATGACTTCACGTCACCACCGCTAAGCTAAAGGCAGCTAATGTTGGGCTATAAAGGAACTACGGCACGGTCACATGACTTCATGTCACCACCGCTAAGCTAAAGGAGGCTAATGTTGGGCTATAAAGGAACTACAGCACAGTCACATGACTTCACATCACCACCGCTAAGCTAAAGGCAGCTAATGTTGGGCTATAAAGGAACTACGGCACGGTCACATGACTTCATGTCACCACCACTAAGCTAAAGGAGGCTAATGTTGGGCTATAAAGGAACTACAGCACAGTCACATGACTTCACGTCACCACCGCTAAGCTAAAGGCAGCTAATGTTGGGCTATAAAGGAACTACAGCACGGTCACATGACTTCACGTCACCACCACTAAGCTAAAGGAGGCTAATGTTGGGCTATAAAGGAACTACAGCACAGTCACATGACTTCACGTCACCACCGCTAAGCTAAAGGCAGCTAATGTTGGGCTATAAAGGAACTACGGCACGGTCACATGACTTCATGTCACCACCGCTAAGCTAAAGGAGGCTAATGTTGGGCTATAAAGGAACTACAGCACAGTCACATGACTTCACGTCACCACCGCTAAGCTAAAGGCAGCTAATGTTGGGCTATAAAGGAACTATAGCTCGGTCACATGACTTCACGTCCCCACCGCTAAGCTAAAGGCAACTAATGTTGGGCGTGATGACGTTTAGTCGTCTCATTTAAACACTTTAAATTCACCAGTGGGGTATTTACTGACGTATTTTATGTTAAAGAACAAAACTTTAAAATCTCTTTAGCCTCAGACCTTATTTCAGGCTAACAACCAAACTCACAATCCGAAAACCATTGAATTCTAGACGAGGGAAAGGAATTCATCAAATGCTGACTCATTTCTGGGTTTTAGGGCTCATTCCTTTACCACTCTATGAGATTATGTTTGAACCCTTTACCTGGTTGTAGCCCTTTTTCGACTTGGAGCTCTTCAGGACTTCTGTCATTGTCAGCTGCAGACTTTCTATTCTTGTATCTGGACAGAAGAGATTTGATTTGCTTGGAAAACAATAACAAATAATATATATATCGAATAAAAACACAGGAATGTCTCAGTTATACACACCTAGCTGCTCAGGTTTCCTGCAGGCTTTGTAAAGATTTATTGACGTGCAAACCATATCTGTCTGGGTCCACTGACTCCTCCCACTGACAGCCACCTGTAAACGGGTGCAGATGTAGAAATACCTTACAGTGCGTTATTGTTTGTGTAGACAGGAAATCTGTGTGTGCCAAATCAGGAAAATACCTTGTTGTAGCCAACTCGCAGATCTAAAGGAACAGCCTCCCGCTCTTTATCTATTCCAAACCTTTTGCTGGCAGCACCTACAGAAATACACATTAGACCAAGTGTGTGTGTGTGTGTGTGTGTGTGTGTGTGTGTGTGTGTGTGTGTGTGTGTGTGTGTGTGTGTGTGTGTGTGTGTGTGTGTGTGTGTGTGTGTGTGTGTGTGTGTGTGTGTGTGTGTGTACATTATTGTGATTGTCTGGGTTTGTCTGTCTGAGTGTGACGAGTGTGACTCACCCATGGCCTTCACCGCTCTGATTCCTGCAGAGTGTCCGAGCTCCAGAGAGTGGAGGAACACCTCCCTCCTCCTCTCTCCTCCAGCCAGGGTGAGCTGTGTGGAGGAGGAAACATTTTTATTAGCATCCATTACATTACATTACATGACTTTTAGCTGACGCTTTTATCCAAAGCGACTTACAATAAGTGCATTCGACCAGGAAGACACAACCTTGAAGAAAACAGAATCATATAAGTACATCAGGTTTCATAGAGCCAAACATT